TTGACCCAGATGACTTGGTCAATTATAGATCTATATCCAATCTTCCTTTCTTATCTAAAATTCTTGAGAAAGTAGTTGCCAAACAAGTTTGCGATCACTTACACCATAATTACTTTTTGAAGAGTTTCAGTCTGGCTTTAGAGCTCATCATAGCACTGAAACAGCTCTGATGAAAGTCACTAATAATATTCTCATGGCCTCAGATAATGGACTTGTATCTGTGCTCATCCTGTTGGATCTCAGTTCTGCATTTGATCCAGTTGATCATAATATTCTTTTAGAAAGACTTGAATATTTTGTAGGAATTAAAGGAACAGCTGATCGATTTCAGTTTTTTCACATTAATGATAAATCTTCCTCATGCTCCAGGGTTACCTGTGGAGTCCCACAGGGATCAGTGCTAGGACCAATTCTCTTTACTATATATATCCTCCCAATCGATAGAATTATTAGACTGCATGGGATTAATTTTCACTGTTAAGCTCATGATACTCAGCTATATCTGTCTATAAATCCAGATGAAACTAACCCATTACATAGATTACAGGCATATCTTGAAGACATGAAAACCTGGATGACTCTTAACTTTCTGCTCTTGAATGCAGAAAAAACAGAAGTTATAGTCTTTGGATTAAGAAAGCTGAAGCTGTGAGCTAACTCTGGATGTCTCCTCCTTTGTTCCAAAGATTATTACCTCAGTTTGTTTATTATTCATTTGGAGAGAGTACAGTCCAATGCTGTACCAGAAAGGCCGACCAAGTTTTCCAGACACACTAATAAACTCGAGTGATCAAAAATATCTATCGCTGCACTGACGTCCAGTAATACCAGCACTGTGTTTCTTCCAGAGTCTGAATTTACACGGATGACCTTTAACACCCTAATCAGGGCAGTCTCTGTACTGTGGTTGCTATGGAGACCTGACTGGAAGACATCAAAGCCACAGGTCATTGTTACAAAGGCATTTAACTGTTGAAACACAACTTTTTCAATAATCGTAGTATTGGAGGGTTAGATAACACCAAACCAAAATACTGCATATCTGCGCCAGACATATTCATTGATGTAAAATTCCCTATCAATGCATTTTTGCACCAGGTTTTTTTTCTACAACAACATTTAGATTTGATCACTGCTAAACTTTATGAAATAAGAATGTTCTAAAAGCTCTACAAAATGAAATTAGAAAACAAAAAAGTTGTCTAAGTCATAAACACATTCAAACAAGTAGGAGCTGTGCATCAGGGGGTATTTTGATTCTCTTTTTTTCACACAGTAAACACTAGAAGGCTGTTTGCCTGAGCAGTTGTTTTCTATGACGCCGTTATCACCCAACAATGTTCTCTCATCGAAGTTCTGTTAAATAGGTCTGTGTGATGCTGCTAATGTGATAATGGATAGTGTCTGGATGTCTGTGATGGATTGGGAGGTGAAATGGTACTGCCCATCAAGATAACGTTTCGGACATCAAAGGACATTGATACGCAGTCTGAGAACCCTCCCATAAAAATTTAAAATGCTGCTTATTCATTGAGTTTACTGGGAAAAAAAATCTATGATGGCTCCAGAAAGAATGTTACTACTGTAAACAGATACAGATGATGAGTGACCTCACTTTTATGCACTTTCCCACTGCAGAAAACCAGTTTAAACCCGGTAGCAATCAGCTTTTAGTGGCAGTGGGAACAGCTCACTGATGCGTGTCAAACGACTCAGCAAGCGAGGCGCGTTAAAATCTCATCCGCTCTGATCAGCATACTGTTGGAACACCAGAACCAGGTAGACCCGCTAAATTACATGATACCAACGTATCATTGAACGCAACGTACAGACGTCAACACCCCGCGCCATGATCTGATCTAACAAGCAGAAACAAGTCTGTTTACATTCAACAAACATGGAGCAGCTCTGATGAGAGGGATTCAGACAGATAATAGAGTGAAACAATAAAACACCCAGACTATGCCCTGGCTTTCTATGTTGCTCTACATTGTTTACTTTCCTGATTTCTGTTGCTCTGGTGACATCAGAGGTCAGAGGCCATGCAGCTCCCAGCGGGTTAGACCAGCTTTTTTTGTCAGTGGGAATGGAGCCAGATGCTAATTGTTAGTAGGTCGACCCATGTTTGAAAAACAGGCATTAACCCGATATTTTCAGTGGAAAAGGGGCTTTTGCAACATGGAAATCTCAAAGTTTCCCTGATTTCTCAGTTGACAAATGTTGAGGTTTCAGCTTTGTGAAGCTGAACTCTGACTGGGTCCACACCTCTGGATGGAGAATCAGTGATATCTTGCTAAAAAGGCAGCAATTCACGTTTAGTGCAGGAGCAGGATGGAAAAATGAAACGTGACTTACAGCAATTTAAAAAATGAAATAGTTGTGTGAGACTCTTCTCATGGATCTAGAAAGTTTACTATTCTCACATGCGTACGCAGTTTATTTAAACCTTTGGATACTGGTTGACAACAATTCAATATCCGTGTTTTTCGCTAATTCTAACCAAACCAAATATTGACCTTTGAAAGCAAAAGGAGAATTTCAAGTGTTACAAAGATCCAGATAAACAGGGATACAGCAATAAGAAAGGAACATCTGCAGGCACCACTATCTGTGAGAGATTAACACTTGAAAAAGGTCTGTAGAAGGTAACAATACTCACTCTTTCCAGTGAAAAGCTTAATACTTGCGGGACTCTTGATTCCCAGTTCCTTGCAGATCTGGAAAAACAGAGCAGATTTATTTACTGAAATATCTGCTGTGGTGACATTGTGCTGTGTTCACACCAAACGCATTTTGGGAGTCAAAAACGCTTAAACCCCAAAATTTGGACACTTGATTAAACTGTGGTAGAGTTGCTTTAACTCACTGGACGCACAACGCTCTGGATGCTTGGCTTTCTAGATGCTCAGCCCTCTGGATGCTTGGCGCTATGGATTCTTGACGCTATGGATGCTCGACTCTGGTTGTTTATCTGCTTTGTTCTGTAGCTTCAAGCTAGAGATCAGCGTGGCTTTATTTACTTTATGAGTTGGAAAAATAGTCTTAACACGTTTTTAAGCGTGAAAGTCCACCTCCAAACATCCTCTGTTCACCAGTTCATCAGGATTATGATGGCACTAAAATATGCAGTTCTTCTTGGGAGCGCCAGTCCTCCAGCATACCACCGGGAGGCAGCGCTGGAAATCCCCACTGAAAGCTCTCTACTGCGGCCAGCCAGTGGGGGATTCCCCGCTGCTGTTCGTAGCAGCTGGAAGCGAATAGAAAGAGTTTTTAAGGTTTTTGGTAAAAACTCCAAGAACCAGAGTGTACAATTGAAAGTTTTTTCATCGGCAGGTTTTAACATTTCTAGTTAATTTGGGTTTTTATAAACTGTTTATCCATAGGTTATAAAAAAATCAGAGCTCACTCTCTGTTCCTTCTAAATAACAATCCATTCTACTACCAGCTTTTTAAACCTTTGGAGTTTAACTCCTTGATATTTATTTTTCATATGCAGAATGTCTGCAGGAATGAATCCATCTCCCAAAAAACTCCTGAATCAGCTCTTCTGATTAGATGACGCTCTGTGTCCAGCTGCAAAAGTTCAGATTTCTGAAGTTTCTGAACACTTGGACGCTCTGATGCTAGGAAGCCGTTTCCCAAAGACTTTGCATGTAAATCTGATGCTTTGACGCCCGGAACACGTTTGGTGTGAACCCACCTTTAGACTTGCGTATCCAGCAGAGAAACCTCTAAAGTCTTTTCTTACTTGGAAGAAGTTCTCCACTGTGATTTCAGGAAGGGCATTAAAGAAGTGGAGCACGTTGCTGGGGTGCTGGATTCGGTTTTTAGCTGCTTGCTCTGGGGAGGCAAAGCGGTTGTTCCGGGATCCATGGAAGTCTTTAAAGCTGCTGGTATTGTCTTCTAACTGATAACTCTGTCCTGGTACAATGGCCTGCTGCTTGGAAACACTGCAGGGAGACAGATCTCCACTCTGTCAGCTCTTTGCTAAACTTCTGATATTTTTAAATAATCGATCTATGCTTCACCTAAATTCATCTCTTCTTACCAAACATTGAGTTTCTGTCCAAACAGGAAAGTGTTGTTGAGGTGACTGATGGCTCTATCCACAGCGTAACCGTCACCCATCTCTACCATTGCTGCTCCAGGTTTACTTTTCATGAACTTCACCTGAAGATGGGGAAATGAAAAACATGTAAATGAATTATTGTTAAATACAAGGAACTTCAAAGTAACTAAACATGGGCAGTGAGCTGTCAAACAGCAAACACATCGCTGAGAGGGAAAGAGGCCGAAGGCCGAGGCTTTAAACCATTATGGATTGACAACTTTATTATTAAAAAACAAAAGAAAGCAGCAGAAGCCTCTGTAGGGGCAGCAATCACTCACCCTCTCTATGTTGCCATAGAGACAGAAGATGTTAAAAAGTCTGTCAGCATTGATCTTGGAGGGCTCCAAGCCGTACACCATAAGAACCGGGGAGTCAGCATGGGGGCCATACTCGGCAGGAGGCGGACCGTGTCCGGCACCGTATCGCTGGCCGCCACGACCCCGCCCCCCCATGCCCATTGCCATACGATGGGGAGGAGGGGGGCCATACGCGTCATCGTTGTAGCTATGATAACCTCCCGTATGGAAGAGAGGAGAAGATGAGGTTTCATGCTAGGAACCAGTTTACTACACTGCTCACCGAGGGGTGTGTACCATAGTCAGGTGGGTGGTCTCCGAGAAGAGCAGGCTGCCTCTGGCGCTTGTTGGGATTGGCATTAGGATCTGAAAATGGTCAAATATAAAAAAAAAAATATGCATCCATCAAATAAAGCTTGCTGCATGCAATGCTGGTGTTTCTGCTGGCCGATCCATGCAATGAGACGACGTGGTGAGGTGCATGCAGCAGGGGAGCCTCATGTTTTTAAACACATTTAAAGCCTTCAGGTCTTATCTGCGTATTTATTCTGAACATAATGGAGATTTTTCTCTGTAAGTGGCTGCAGCTTTCAAAGCATTTACTAAATGGAGTCAGTATTCATCCATCCCATTATAAGCACAAACACACCTTGTGATATGTTCCAATTGCCTTCACCATCAGCATCTGTACAAGTACACATACACATATGTCATTTAAGACATAAATACGTCTTAAAACTCATCAGACAAAATCAACCAGCATGTCAATTCAAAGCAGCGCAGACATTTTTATCATGTGGCTCAATGCCACAACCATTTTATTTAAACAGGTTTTACAAACAAGTTCAGAGAAAGAACAGAAAACAGGAGCATGGAAAACAAATGTCTTTACATTCTGAATGGAAACATAAAACTTTGACATTTATTCTGGGTAAAATAGTTTCACAAAAATTGAATATCTATAGTTATATACTGGCTTAATAAAATCACTCTCGAGCAGAGCTGTGGAGCTAACTAACGTGCCTTTGGGGTATTTTCCTGCTACAAAACAAACCCTCCTCAGTCTGAGGTCCAAGAACTGCAGCAGGTTTTCATTCACGTCTTTAAATTTTTGCATCTATTTTTTCCCTTGTTTTATTGACTGGTCTGCCAGTTCCTGCTGCATGATGCTGCCATTACTGTGCACCAGTATAAGGACTAATGAAGAGCAATAAACGTAATGGCGAACATTCACATCAAGGAGTTCAACCACTGTCCAATCAGAATAGAATTCTGTTTCTTATAGTTTGGCATTCAAATATGTTTCTGCAGACACCAGAAGAGCTGTCATGAGCGTTGATTTAAGTAGGCGGCCATTTAACCACGAAGGCCTAATGGTAGTACGTTTCAAAGGCTTTCAAAGAAATACTGGAGCTCTGACTGGATGAAGGGGCTCTTGGCCACATCCCTGACTAAGGCCCTTCTCCTCAGATTGGGAAGTTTAACAGGACTAAGAATGGTCCACTGAGCTCAATGGTCCTTTCTTCTGTATCCTGTCTGAGATTCCGGCCCCCTTCTTTCCACTTCATGTTTGGTGTTTGCGCTTTAACATACACTGTCATCTGTGGGGACTTGCATAGACAGAAGTGTGCTTTTCCTAATCACGTCTAATCAACCGAAACATATAGCGTTGGCACCATGGTGTTGGCTAAACCAGATAGCCACCAAAGTCATCCAGGCTCTGCGCTTCTACAGTGATTCTGATTCAATCTCCCACTGCATCCAAATGAAGTATGCTGGTGAAGGTTCTCAAGTCATCCAGGTCATAGTCATTCCAAAAAATTTAAAACAATCCACTGGACTTGGTTTCCAAGTTTGAAGACGTTTCGCTTCCCATCCAGGAATCTTTTTCAATTCAAAATGTCAGGAATTTTGAGCTTTTATACAGTAGCCCACTATACTACAGGGCTACATACTTGTAGCCCTGTAGTATAGAGCATTCTTCTTATGCTGAGCATATGCGTGAGCTTCTTATGCTCTAAGGTGCATAAGAAGATGGTTAGATAGTCCTTTTTAATCTTGAATAGAGTTCCAGCATTGCAAAGAGCAAACTTTTGGCATTACCATAGAACTATCAGCTTAGGCTGCTTCCATGTCTTCCCTGCACATCTCTATTGTTAGTGTAAGATATACACAGAGGCCTTTTTTACTAACAAACCGATCAAAAACACAAATACAACAAATAAGTAATCTTACAGAAAGTAAATTAAAATAATCAGAATATTAAATGCATTTGCTCTCAAGGCATGGCTGCTAAAATATAGTAATGAATCGGTTAATCCACATATAGACTGATGCTCATAAAAGAAAAACATTTTAATATCAGCCAAAACTATCGTCCAGCCAATTTATTGGTCTAAATTAATTTTGTCTCTCAGCGTAGATCTAGCTTTTCTTCCATTCTCTATTATGTTTTATCTATTATGTGAAAAAATTACTGTGGAATTGGTAAACAAGTTCGAGTTCAAACTTAAGGATGCTGATAATCTACAAGGATGGTTTCTGGGTGGATTAACCAGCAGAAGCAATTAGACCGTCGACAGGGAGCAGAACCTTTAGAAACCTAAATCAGGATGAGGAAGATTTAGTTGAAAATCATCCTATGAGGGCTCAGTTCCTTCTATGAAACTGAAGCAATAAGTCACAAAATGACGACAGGCTTTATTATTTATTATTGGTTTATGCTGAACATGTGTAAAACAGTCCACACAGCCAGATTACCCCTCTTGTTGTTTGGATTATAATTTTCTTTGATTCTTTTGTCGCTCTTGGTCAAATTCTGACGACTCTTCTGTTAACATCTTTTCCCAGATTAAAGAAAAAGAAAGATTATTTCACTAAATTACCATAGCTGTGCTATAAAATTGTAAATATGGCTGTAGTTTATAAAATAGACAGATGTCTGAGTAAAAATAACTTAAAGCACTACTAAAGAACAGCAGTTTTGGTGGATTTTGGCTCCCCCCAGTGGACAGAATCTTTATTGTTTTGCCTGAACGAAGAAAGCTTTCCCCTGAGGACCAGTGTGGTAACATCCTGACCTCTGGTCACCTTCAGGTGGATTAAACTACAATTCTGTCTCCAGTGCTTGAATGATGAACAGCAATGAAGTCATGAAACAAACTGGTGAAACAAAGTCAAATGGAGATGTTGAAAATAAGAAACTTCTAACTAAAAGCCTTGAAAGCAATAAACATAATGTTATGTTGGATAATTTGACAGAAAACGCATATAGATCCAAGCAAGAATGAGCCAGGAAATAAACCCTGCATAGCTTGCAGGAATATACAGCCTGTGAGGGAAGCTTATTTGCATCGTCTGAACTGATGACGTGGGGCCGCCCTCCTGTGGACCCATCACCCACAGAGGGGTCGGGTGCAGAGGGGAGGGTTGGGTGCAGAGAGGACTGGTGCCTCAACAACCCGGTCTGCATATGCAGCTTTTGGCTGTAGGAATGTGGAACGTCACCCCGCTGGGGAGTAAGGAGCATGAGCTTGAGCAGGAGGTTAAGAGGTACCAGCTAGATATAGTTGGGCTCATCTCCATGCACAGCTTGGTTTCCAGATCCCATCTTCTGTAGAGAGGCACGACGCTCCACTTCCCTGGCATTGCCCGTGGGAAGAGACGGCAGGCCTGGGTGGCCTTGCTCATTGCCCCCTAGCTCAGTTGTTACGTTTTGGAGTTCACCCAAGTGAACGAGAAGGTCGTGTCCCTACCCGTTCAGTTTGGGGACAGGTCTCTCACAGTTGTCTTGGCCTACGGTCCCAACATCGGTGCAGAGTACCCGGCCTTCTTGGAGTCCCTGGGAGGGGTATTTGATGGTGCTCCAACTGGGGACTCCATTGTTCTACAGAGGAACTTCAACTCCCACGTGGGCAGCGACAGTAAGACCTGGACAGAGGCAATTGGAAGGAATGGCATCCCAGATCTGAGCCCGAGCTGTTTTATGTTATTGGACTTCTATGCTAATCACAGTTTGTCCATAACGAACACCATGTTCGAGCATAACGGTTTCCATAAGTGTACGTGGCACCAGGACACCCTAGGCCTGAGGTCAATAGAATAGAATTTTTAGTTGTCATTTGATATCCGGTCACGTGTCTCGCACACTTGGGTGAAGAGAGGTGCTGAGTTGTCAACTGGTCACCACCTGGTGGTGAGCTTGATCCGATGGCAGGGGAGGAAGCCGGTCAGATCTAGCAGGCCTAAGCGTGTGTAAGCGGGTCTGTTGGCAACATCTGGTGGTTCCCTCAATTAATGTCTTTAACTCCCACCTCCAGAAGAGTTTCTCCCACATCCCGAGGGAGGTTGAAGACATGGAGTTAGAGTGGTCAATTTTCTCCTCCTCCAGTGTCGATGTAGCTGTGGCTGTAAGGTCTCTGGTGCTGTCACGGCGGCAATCCCCAAACCCATCGGTGGAACCAGGAAGTAAGGGATGTCGTCAAGCTGAAGAAGGATGCCTTCCTGGCCTTACTAGCTATTGGGACTCATGACTTAGCTGAGAGGTACCGGCAGGAGAAAGCATGCTCATGCAGTCACAGAGGCAAAAACCCGGGTCTGGAAGGAGTTTGGAGTAGCCATAGAGGAGGGCTATTGGTCGGCCTCAAAAGTGTTCTGGCAAACTGTCCGGAGCCTTAGGAGGGGGGAGCAGCGCTTCACCAACACTGTTTACAGTGTGTGTGGGGAGCTGCTGACCTTGACTAGGGATGTTGTCGGGCAGAGGAAGGAGTACTTCAAGGATCTCCTCAATCCCATCATTATGTCTTCTGAGGAGAAAGCAGAGGCTGGGGAATAGAGATGGATTCGCCCATCAGCCAAGCTGAAGTCACCAAGGTAGTTAGAAAGCTTCTTGGTGGCAAAGCTGGATGAGATTCACCCCAAGTAACTTTAGTCTCTGGATTTTGTAGAACTGTATTTGCTGACATGTCACTGCAGCAACGCGTGGCAGTCGGGCACAGGACCCCTTGACTGGCAGACCGGGGTGGTGGTCCCCCTCTTTAAAAAAGGGGGATAGGAGGGTGTGCTCCAATTACAGAGGGATCACACTTCTCATCCTCACCGGTAAGGTCTACTCCAGGGTGCTGGAGAGAAGGATCCGGCCGATAGTTGAACCTCAGATCCAGGAGGAACAATGCCGTTTCCCTCCTGGTCACTGCACACTGGACCAGCTCTATACCCTTCATTGGGTGCTCGAGGGTTCATGTGAGTTTGCTCAATCAGTCCACGTGTTTTGTGGATCTGGAGAAGGCATTCGACCTTGTCCCGTGCGGTGCCCCGTGGGGGGGTGCTCCAGGAGTATGGGGTCTGGGGCTCTCTGTTAAGTCTGTCTGTTCTCTGTATGACTGCAGCAGGAGCTTGGTTCACGTTGCCGGCAGTAAGTATGACCCATTTCCTGTGCATGTTGGTCTTCGCCAGGGCCGTGTGCCAATTATCTTGGGGTCGTGTGAGGGACAGATGGAGCATGAGTTTGAAAGACTGATCGGTGCGGCATTTGCAGTGATACAGACGCTGCATTGGACTGTTGTGGTGAAGAGGGAGCTGAGTCAGGGAGCAAATCTCTCGAATACAAGATCGCGAATACAAGTGGCTGAAATGAGTCTCCTTCGCAGAGCGGCAAGGTACACCCTTTGAGATCAGGTGACTAGCTGTGCTTCCCAGGAGGAGCTCGGAGTAGGAGGTTCGACTGAGGTGGCTAAGGACATGCTGGAAGGGACTATGTCTCTGGGACTATGTCCCCCCAGAAAAGCTGGAGGAGTTGTGTGTGGATCTGGAAGTCTGGGCATCTCTGCTTTGACTGCTGCCTCCGCCACCCGGCCCCAGATAAAGTGGAAGAAAATGGATGGATGGATGGATGGATGGATAGATAGATGACAAGCATGCATTGCAGTTCTACTTTATATAGACCATAACTGATGATTGAATTAATTAAATGAAGGATTAAAAAATTTCATTTAATCTGTTGGGTAGAAAAAATAGACACCTAAAGGAAACCCATTCACTTGTCAAAGATAAATGTATATCTACTTTTTATCAAAAGAAAGTTATTAGAAATAACAGATTGACCAAAGTACTTTATAAAACCAGATTACAGGATATGAACTAAATAAGGAGCAGAATACACAGTTCAGTACTTACAGCAGCGCATAGAGAGCATAGGACACAGTGGGCAGGTACAGGCCAACCTTCAGGAAGGATGCTACCCTCCAGCCTCTGACTTCAGGCTCAACTCACTCTTCCTCAGGTTTCTGCTTCTTCTTTTCTTGACTGCATCTCACCTCCAGACCAAACAGTGCATCCACAGGTCTGCTGTTGATTTTACAGTTGGTGTGGCTGCATATTCAAAGGTACTATTGTTGCCTCATTTCCATCTTAGCGTGCTCTGATCACAAAGCACCATTTCAGAGAAGGCTGTCAGTCCAGGGACACAGTGAGCCAAACCTGCATCACACGGGAGGCGTTAGAGGCATCACTATGGGCCAGTGCAAAAAAGGAAAATGTAAACGCAGAAACAACACAAGCACAGCGCAGAAAGGAGGGGAAAAGGGAGTAAGGTACAGGGAGAGCAGAACACCAGAGTCCATGACTGTGGAAAGTTTGCCTCACTGCTTGTATGCTTGACAGCTGTCTGATGGTGTGTCTTCACAGGCCCCCCTGTGGGTGTTTCTTCTCATGTAAAATGGGTACTTGCATGATGTTTGATTTATATGCTTTACAAGCTGATAGCATTTAGCACTTGTTAACAAGTCATCTGGAATAACTGCAGATGTACTGTCATGGCAGTTCAGCTGACTGTTGCCGTGGATACTCAACTCTGATGAGTTCAAACAGAGGAAGGTAGAGGCGAGGTGTAATACATCTGACAGTGAAGCCTGTTTTTTAAACTCCCCATTATGTGTAGCCGTCTGTTCCCTGGCCGGACTGAGTGTGTCTGAAATCCTCTGGACGTGTGTTTTGGCAAAGAAAATCCAAGAGTGTGACTCCTGCCCCCATCACCAGTGTGTTTGTCACAGTTGTAACTCCTCAGGGTTTTGGAGATTAAATGTGCTGTGCCAGTGGCGAAGTTGCAGAAGCCGCTTAGCAATCTATTAGCGTCGGACTGTGGTGGATATGCAAGCTGTCTATTTGCTGCCATTTGAGTGTTTCTGTCCCTCTAAAGTGAAAATGTGGCTAGTGCTAGCCATGACTCCCATGTCAGCTCGTAGATGTAGACGATGATGAAGCCGGAATAAGGAATTACTGCGCTGAAGTTGTATTCCAGTATTTGATGCCCCACTGCGCCCATGTGTGCCCTAGAGCACTGCTACCTGAATGGTCCCTGTGTCTGTCTGCACATTCATGGACCTCTGAAAAAAGCTATAGAGTAAGAAACAAGGAGCACTTGTAGGTCATTATGGATAAAAAAAAGACCCCCTAAAAGGAAAAAAAATTGTAAAAGCCTCACTTTGTCCCTGTTTGGTTCAAATCTGTTATTAACAAATATCTAATTCTGTTTTTTGTAAAGAAAACAAATCAAAAAGTAATCATCTATTTCTTCAGTCAACTACACAGAACAAAATTATGCATCAGTAATAATGTTTCATCAACCTCAATAAGAACAGAGCTAGAAGGAAATGTTTAGCTTCATTAAGTCCACATTTTAATATTTTGTCTAAAGAGGTCTGGATCTAAGAATAAAAAACAGAATTATTTGAGTAAAATACTGAACAAATGCATGTTGGATGAAGGCTTGTTGAGGTCAAAGAATAACATATCTCATTGAAAGGATAGTTTAGCAATAAATCAACTTTTATTTTTAACTCCTAAAACCAAATGAAACATCTTAGATCTCCAGTATGTCATGTGGTCTTTATCAAACAGCTCTCTCATCTTAAAGGAGACTCAGCTGTACTGTGATAGAAAATCTCCACTTAGCTTTAAAGGGAAACACCATTTTTTTTACATTGGCCCTTGATTTTACATTATATCATGTTCTACTCACCCATATGAGTTTTGTGTCATTTGGAGCTGTTTTGAAGATATTCCGTTAGGTTATATCCAAGCGGCGCGTTTATGACGTCATCCGCACTCTGCCAGTCACAACTTCAGTCCGGCTTGCACGGATGACATCATACAAGCGCCGCATAGTTTTTAAAAGATATAACTATAAAAAATATAACTGCGGATGACTGGGGGACAGTGATTCGCCTACATGTTATGAATGCTGGCATACCATAAATGATAAATTATGAACAGTTTAGTTTGTGCCTTCATGTCGTTAGGAAGATGTTACTTGGATATAACCTAACAGAATATCTTTAGAACAGCTCCGAATGACACAAAACTCATATGGGTGAGTAGAACATGATGTAATAACATAAAATCAAAGGCCCAATGTAAAAAAAAAAAGGCGTTTCCCTTTAAAGAAAGCTCAAAGGTATCAACCTGCATTGTGTTGTGGAGCGATTCCATGCTCTACAAGACAGTGATCCTATGTGAAATTCAGTGCATGTCCTTCCACTACTATCATGTGTTCTCCATACTTTTCACATGCATGAGCCTGTAACGCACACTGCAGCTCCTTGTGCCATTAACTTTGCACCTGCTGTGTAGTGAGGAAACATAAGAACTGATGGCATCACAGGAATCCTGCCTTTGAGCAGTGAATTGGACTGCACTGCTTTGAGACCAAAGGCAGAGAATCCCAACCATCCTCTGCAGTGACATGAGAGGAAAAGAGGAAGATATAAAAGAGAAAGGGTAATTTAGAGGAAGGGCATATTACCTTGGCCACCCAGGTTTGGGTTAGTGTAGTCCCATGTGTCCTGGTCATTCTTGAAGACATTAAGTCGTGCAGGCTGTTCCAGAAGAGGGATTAGAAAAATCTAAATTAGAGTTTTCATACCATCATTTGGGAGAGCTATGCCCCTTTTCTATTTGCTCTACTGAGGCCAGCTCTGCTGCACAGCTCTGTGAGGAGGATTTCCATCACTCGTTTATTTCTTCATTCATGCTCAGGAGCTCAAGTAGGTATGAAATGAAACGTGGCACAAACTATTGTTTACTTTTTGGCTCACAGTCTAACCTCAGACCTTTTAATCAATCAGCAGCTACGTATAGCGTCTCATCGCTGCACCCCCCAACCACCCGTAACTGCGGGAATCGGGATGCAGTCCATATGATCAGCTGATTTGTCTTTATGTCCCAGCACTAACCCAAACCTCAGCAGACCGCCTCATTATATCACCTGTTCTTAACCAGTTCTTAGTTGAGATTTCCAGGCGTGTCTTGGGGAGTGTTGACCTAGTAGTTAGAGCAGTGCGCTTGTGCTCTGAGAATGTTGCAAGTATCCAGTTTGATCCCCACAGCCTCCATTCTGGGTTCCTGAACAATATATATATATAAAAGTATATATATTAGGGATGGAAC